TGCTAATGAGCTGTGCTGTCAGGGAGGTGACCCAATATGCTAATGAGTTCCTGCTGTTGGGTGTGGCCTATTATGCTAATGAGTTCCTGCTGGGCTTTTTCTACAAAAAGAGTGCTAGTTATTCCCATATATATCTAAAGCCAAGAGGGCATTCGGTTGGGGTGGGGACGCAGTGCGGGGAGATTAAATATATTTCATGAACCTCAACAAAAGGTAAATTAGCAGCAAACTCAAGGGCATAGATCATCAAGGTCAGGCTGGGCATTTCACACCATAAAAGCCATGGAAGCATTTATCCAGTCTGCAGTCTGACGCTCCCCACCTCTATGCTCATTTTGAATAGCCTCTTCACTAACGACCAAGGGAAGGTGTGGGGATAGAAAGATCTCCAAGCAAGCACCCATGGCTGAGGACTCCTGCCAACATGTCCTTTCTAATAGATTAGATTTCAGCACTGCAGTCTATAAATTCATCCCCTTGAAACCTCAAAGCCTTAGTTTCAAATAAAGTAATGAAAAAAAGAGAAAATAGTTTTGAAGGTGAATATCTTTATTTAGACTATGTGATCCAAATTAGTCCATAGATTTTTAGTCCTTCCCAAATCACAAGTCTCAGAGCTTATCATGTAAATGCTGCTCCTCTATCAAACTGCTGTACAAAATTCATACGACATAATATTTATACAGTAAATATTAGTTCATTAACATTTCTTTTTTTAAAAAAAGGCAAAACAGATTAGCTGGCAAATAACTTTGTATTACTTTTCCAACATGTGTTACTACAAAATGGCACAAAGCCCAGTTCTTAAAACCTCCATGATTTGAGATAGTTAAACTGAATGTAATTGTTTGGAAGACAGAACTTCCCAAAAGTTGCTCAGAACTTTGTACTTATACATCAAGAGAAAAAAGAATTAATTGCTTAAATAAATAAACCCAACTTCCCACAGGTTTTATTATTTGTATAGGTTAGAGCTTTCTGAAATTCAATCAGAATTAAGTTTAAGATGTTTGTCAACCGCCACCATGTACAAAGATCTGAGAAAATTACTTAAAACAGTTAGATATGTGTATTACTTGGCAGCTCAAATCAAAGAGTCCCGTAAAGTCAAATTTGTTATTAGCCATTTCACATGTATTAGTCTTGCCCATAGACTTCAAACATCTGACGGATGCATAAATTAAGTATACAAATATTTGCTAACTTTAAATGTGTCCCAAAGTCTTAAAGGTAAGCACATCAATCAAGCCCCTTGTATCAGATTAGACTTTGTCAAGTTTGCCAAATACCCAGAACCTGGTTTATATCAAAATATGAAAAAGAGTATTCTTAAGCAAAACAAAAACAGCTGAATTAATCCAAAAGTTTCAGAAATATTGGATAGAGAATATAGCTGCCAGCAACCTATTAGATTTGAACTCTACACACAAAGAGGAGTGGAGAGACCTGTCTGCTTGTGTATGAAAGAGGTTATTGGGGCAGCATACACGACTGCTTAAAATAGGTAAGATATTAAAAGTTACAGGCTACATATACATACAGAGTAATTCATGATTTGTTACAAGAAATCAAGTTGACCCATGGGTTAGGAATTGACTGGATAAACTACAATTTATACCCTTCACATTGCTTTTTAAGCTCCTCTGTGAGGCCTTCAAAAGGCACAACTGAACAACCTTGCTTGCAGCCCTCAGAGTGTACAAGACTCCACACATCTGTGTCTACGAGTTCGCCTCACTTGAGCAACAGTTCATTACTGCACCATACCACCTGGGTATCACATAACCATCGCAATTTGGCCTGGAGGCAAAAGGAAAAGACGGCGGATTGGCAGGCATGGACAAGAAGTAGCCTCCTCCCACCCAGGTTAAATACTGGCAAGGTTCACCGCTGTATTCAATGGTGCAATAAATTTAGTGAATTGTACTGTGCAAACTGAAGGGAAAAGGGAAGCACTGCTAGATTTAAAAAAATGCATTCTGTAGAAAAGCAGAAGTGATAAAGATGGATCCATCATTTACTGAACAGCTTCATAACGAGACATGACTGTGGAAATTCTCCTGCTTAACTTGATTTTGTTGCTCCCCATATGATTAGGCCAAGGACGGTTCCTCCTATGGCGAGTACAAGAATAAGAATACACATTTTCTTACGGGACTTGCGCTGCAGAGGCAAAAAAGGATGGAAATTGTTAGCATGGAACAGTTGGGGAGCTGGACAGAAAACAAGCCAGCACTTAGTTCTTCGAATGAGCATGTGAAGTAGTGAGCTTGTGTCTGGAGAGGATTTTAGCTTAGCATCTACTATACTATTTTAGCTTAGCATCTACTATATTACCCTTTTTAGCTTAGCATCTACTATAGCATCTACTATTTTAGCTTAGCATCTACTATATTACCCTTTTCCCTGACCTCCAGCTTCCAACTGCAGTGGAAGAGAATTTTTTTTAAAGCAAGGATTAAGAGACTAGGTCTACCACCTCATAGGCTGTTGATAAAGTCTAGGCCTACAGCATCAAATATGAAATGGCTACTATACCATAAAGACAGTATTTCATTAACACTGACACCTTGTCAACACAATATTGTACAAGAGGCTTGATGCACCCCACTGCCCATGCTTGATTACTACTGTTCCCTCCAGGAAGGAATACAATGTGAAATGGGGGAGGGGGGGTTAACAGAAAAGGTGGGGTGAGAGAGAGAAACACTCTTCTTCCTTCCCTCTTTCTCTTCTAGATACTGCTCCACTCTTTGAGAGAGAAAAATATGAGAAACTAAGCACATATAATGTTCCCTATGACTGCTTTCGTGGCATTTGGCTACTACAGAATTGTTCAGGAGGACATTTTTTTATACAGAAAATCTGGCTGTCATTTTAATGTCTCTGGAAACATTTAGGAAGTCCCCACCTTACATTGTTTATTGTATGTATTACACTGCCTTTATGGCCTCTATGAATCTAATTCTCAACACAGCCCCAAAATACGGATCAAAAAGTTCTGCACAAAACTTGCAAGTTATAGACTATGGGGATTTTTCTACAGACCCAGGGGCATGAAATATGAAAAGGTGTGTTTTTTGTTTTAAATGGCAACAGTTATCTTGCAAAATCTCACGAGATCACAATCACTGGGAGGCTGTCTAGCATCTAAGGCACTGGGACCTGGGCCTAGCCCTAGGCAATCCTGGCATGAAAGAAGGTTGTAGGGGAACAGCAGCAGTTGGGAAAAGAATACAAAATAGTGAGTGAAGAGGGTAGCAAAGTGGAGGAAAGGCTGAAAAGAGCAAGTGCGTGGAAAATGGAGGGGGAGCAAATGGGGGGGTCAGTGTGGGAAGTTAGGTCCCCAAATTGTTGTTTTCTAATTTTGTAATCCACTTTGAATCTCAACAAGTAAGGCAGACTTCAATTGAGTAAAGAAATAAATCCTAGTCTGAGCCAAGAGATATTACAAATTGTCGCAGGTGGGGAAGAAGAGGCAGCACATACACAACACAGACCAGACTACACTGCAGGTATACATGCACCAACGCACTGACTACCAGTCCAAGAAGGCTCCATCACATGTCATATCAGTGCAATAAAGACCAATGTGATATCCAAATATGTTTGTTCTAAGTCAAAAAGGCCTTTAAGTGATAATTTTAATTGATTGGAAAGACTGAAAAGATAAACTTTTACTTTTACGTAAAGGTCAGACATATTCCTATTAATGGGAGAACTATTAGAAATCATGGTATTATAGGAAGTTACAGCTATCTGTAATTATTTAAATCCCAGGTTTCTTGCTTTCCTCCCTCTATCAAGGAATAAACTCACTACTGGGAAATCAGAAGGAAGTTGGATTAACAAGAATAAAATCTGCACTGAGTGTTCAGTGCAGGAGAGCCAATAGTCTGAGATAAAAATGAGAGGCTAACCGTGTCTAGAAAGCATCGGAGTTCCTTTCAGGAAACGCATTTTAAGTAGACTTTATGAGCTATCCATGACATTCATAACATCAATATTGAAACTACTGACCCCAAAGCAGACAAACAGGCTGGCACTTTACCCAGCATGCATGCTTTACTTTAATCCCAATTACACTACAGTGAAGGTCCATTAAATCACCTTGCACCTATACTTCTAAGTTAAGATGTTTAGGAGAGTGGTCCTTTTTATTTCAATACTATCAGCTAAGTCAGGTGATTTTTTTTTATTTTCATTTTTAAAAATAGATGGGAAATTCTGAGGAGACTGACATTTAAAGTAAACTGGATTTACTACTGTTTGGAGCGGCTACCTTTTGTCAAGCAAGCAATGGCTTCCCTTTAAACAATGTGTTTCATGAATGTCATGCATTAGGGTCCACTGCTGATTTCATGAATTAGACTTTGCTCAACTCATACCTGAAGTGATATAATCCCTGCAAATTTCATCCAGATTGGATGGAACATAAAAAATACTTGCTGCCAGTGATACCAAGGGACACAAAAATGAACACAACAAATAACCAAAATGCATCTAGGAGCAAATACGGGGCTTCATAAATGAAAATAAAATGGCAGAGTACTATTAATGAGATATTTGCTGACTTTTGACAGCAACGCTACAGATTTGGTGGATAAATACTAGTTTTCTACGGTATGATCTAAACGTTATTACTACTAGCAAAATACCTCAATATGAACATGGCCTAGAAGGAGAGGATCCTAAAAATTAGCTCCCAAAACCGGAAACTGAGAGAGGTTCAACTTTGGAGTACTCAGTTTGGTGTAGTGGTTAAGTGGGCGGACTCTAATCTGGGAGAACCGGGTTTGATTGCCCACTCCTCCACTCGCACCTGCTGATGTGACCTTGGGTCAGTCACAAGCTCTGGCACAGCTGTCCTTGAAAAAGAGCAGTTTGTGTCAAGAGTTCTCTCAGCCCCACCCACCTCACAGGGTGTCTGTTGTGGGGAGGGGAAGGGAGAGGAGTTTGTAAGCTGCTCTGAGACTCCAAGTGAAGGGTGGGGTATAAATCCAATCTCTTTTTCTTCTTTAATATATCTGATGGAAATGCTGCAACATAGTCTTGCTGTCTGCAATAATATTTACCTGGTAGTCTGCTGCTCTAGACAACTGTTGATTTGCTTGCTGGACATGGACTTCAGTTGTTTCTACATTGGCCTCAATGCTATCTTTGGAAAAGGAAAAAGATAATTAAAATCTGTTCTGAAGTAATATGATAATCCTCTGTAACAGAAATGCACTGCTCTGGGAACTTGTACATTTTTAGCCATGTTCTATGGCAATAACACAGCAAATATTTATATTATAATTCCAAGATCATTCATTCTAAAGCACATTCCACTAAAACCTATACAAACTGAGATGGAAGTATAGTTTACCAAAAATGGGAGGGGGGATGTTGAGAGGCAACAGCAAGAGGCAGAGGCTGGCCCCCCCAACCATTGTGTGCTGGGGGAAGGTCTAACCCCCATGCAGCTGCCCTGAAGCGAGGCGAGGGGCAGAGCGGATGCCGTACAGCACCCCACCTCCTTCCATAACCCAGTCCTGCCTTGTTGACAGTAGAGAGAATGTGTGCAGCCAGCCCCCCTTGCTATATGTTTGGCTGGCATGCCAGGCAGCAGCTTCATGGGAATACTAAGCACACGAGTGGTCACCCATGGCCCATACAGCAGCTGTCCTCACACTGCACTCCACCCCAGTATTGCTGCCACCACAAAGAAATCACAGATGACTGAGATACATGATGTTAGGAATGAAGATGGAGGGGGGCACCCATCTTTGATTTCTGCCCAGGGCCTCAGAATCCCTAAGACAGCTCCTGAACTTATCCCCGGAAGATGGGGATGGAGTGTGTGAGGAGGTATAGGTCCCAACCCAATCACTGATGGGCAGGGCCAAAGAATGCACATCGCAACAGCATCAGAACATGAAAACAGTGGAACTAGATATTGTGGGGGAAGAGAGCAACACAGGAAAGCTCTTTTCAGTAGCAGCCCTGTTTTCTTCACAGAGTGCAATTCTACCTTTAAGTGAACATTTTGAGAATCAGATTTATTATTCTGCAACTCTAAATGAAAGAGTGCCAGACAACTATGGGCACAACCAGACTTTATAGCAGCCATGTATCTGACCCATGGAGGTCCCCACCATTTTATAGCTGAACTTGGGCTACTTAAAAATGCTGCCAGGCAGCGTGGTGGCACCAGGTGCTCCTGTCTCCACCCCCCACCCCCGGGCCTTTTCAAATGCCAAAATGGTCTCCAGAATGCTTGGTCCAGCACTTGGTCCCACTATGCTGCCTTGCAGCATTTTAAAGGCCCCAAGTTCAGCTGTAAAACAGTGGGGAGGGGGATTCACAGGCCAGACCCTTGCATGCTGTAACATATAATTGGGCCCTAAATGGAAGCCCTGCTCCAAGTTAAGATGATCATAACTGTATGATACAACCAGTTTTCTGGACCAAAATTATTACAATTGGGGCTTTGCCGTGAACCAGGTACACTTCTTGCTCACTCACTCTGCACACTGAATTAGGTTTTGTCTTTTGACGTTTCTGAGCACTCTTCTCTTTCTTGAACTGCACGGATTGGCTAGGGCAATACAATATGTCTCTCAGAAAAAGATCTTTTCTCCTAGTCTCCCTGTCTTAACAGCTCTGTGAGAATACAGTCCAGAGTGTGCAAGTGGCCTAGGATCACCCAATGAACTTCAATGGCTGATTAAAGACCTGAATCTGGGTCTCCCCAGTCCTATTCCAACACCAGCCACCACTCTGTACGGGGACTCTCATAACGGCTTTTCCCTATGCACCCCACTGGTTCAACCCGTCATTCTGAAACTGCTGAGGAAGTCTTCCGAAGTAGACACAATTCCCTCAAAAACTGAAATGTAGGCATAACATGCTCACTGACAAGTTTCAATGGAAGAACCCCATCTGAAAATATGCTTTTCCATAATGAAACAAAGCACGTACAAGAAAGGGCAGTATTTCAAACTTTTTTTAGTAGCCTGAAAATCTAGAACACACGTTCAAAGTCATAAGAACATAAGAGATGCCAATGTTGGATCAGGCCAAAGGCCCATCCAGTCCAACACTCTGTATCACACAGTGGCCAGAAATACCAGTGCCATCAGGAGGTCCACCAGTGGGGCCAGGACATTAGAAGCCATCCCACTGTTGACCCCCCCCCCAAGCACCAAGATGACAGAGCATCACTTGCCCCAGAGTCCCTATCTATACCTTGTGGCTAATAGCCACTGATGGACCTCTGCTCCATATGCTTATCTAATTCCCTTTTGAAGCCGTCCATGCTTGTAGCCGCCACCACTTCCTTCCTGTGGCAGTGAATTCCGAGTGTCATAGCACTCATTCTTATTAAATAAAATTTGATCTTACTAGGTTGCTGCTGCTGCTGCTGACATGAAATCAGTGCATCTTAAATACTGGGTGCATGTATGAGAAATATTTGCATGCAGCCCTCTCAAAACACTGATCTCTGCTTACCTATTATGTCTCCTTGTTCATGAATCATCATCCCCAGATCTTTAAATATTTCGTTAATATCCATAATATCTGCCTGTAAATACAGAAGATACGTTTTATACAAGACTGTGCGACTGAAGACTGCTTTTCTGTCCACGTTGTTGAATGGAGGAAGGAGATAGGACACGTGGCAACAGGAAGACGGCTGACTGCCTAAAGAGCCAGAGAATATAAGAAACAGAGACCACCACAAGGTCTGTGTATGGGCACTCCACATCAGACATGATGCACGCGCATCAGCTGGCAAGCAGGGGAGAGGTGGCAGAGGCCCCATCAGCACTCCCTTGGGAGAACAAGAGAGGAGAAGCAGGGACAGGTGGGATTTCCATTTCTTTTCCCCACCGTGTACCTGTCTAAGTACAAAGAGAGAAAGACAAACCATATGGCTGCTTCAAACATTACATTTTTTGACCTACATCTCTAATGTAGGTTCTGACCAACACATTTTGGAAGACACTTACATAGTAGATACACATTTGGAAAACAGCCGGTGGTTCGCTGTTGTGCACAGACGTCAGACATATCCGCAGGTTGGTTGCTGTATAATGCATGAAACTGGACCAGCCACGTAAGGCTGGGGGCTCTATCACTATAGAGTATTTAAACTTATCTCCTCATTTCCAAGTTGGACTCCCCCCACCAATATGCCTGCTTGAGAAGGAAGCCAGTAGACATTTTAAAACAACCTTGACGCACTGAACGTGGAGGGAAGCAGCGCTCAATTCTCCACTGTGTAAAATGCAAGCTTCGCCACCTGCTGTCCAAAACAAGCTATACAGATAGATTCAAATTATCCTGGAAGATATGGGCATGGAGCACCAAAAAACCACGAACTGCAATACAAGGCTAGAATTTAGGAGCATTAGGGCCTTCATGGGAAAAGGAAGAAAAATTATATTTGACCTCATTGTTGCTGCAATGCTAACCTCAAGTTGCCTGATGGTAGTTTCTCTCTCCTCAATAAGACGAAGATCATCTTCTGTGATTTCTTCATCTAGTACTTGACTTTGAGTTTGGCTGTAAGTGAATAGGTACACGAGATGCTCAGCTCCCTATGTGGGTAAGTCGCTTCACATGCAACATGACAGAACACATTAAATTGAACTAGCAGCTGGGGGGGGGGTATCTCCAACATTATGGGGACCATGACTCAGTGGCAAAGAATGTTCTTTGCATGCAGAAAGCGCCAGATTCAATACTTGGCACCTCCAGTTAAAAGGATCAGATAAGAAGCGATATGAAAGACCACTATCTGATACCCTGAAGATCTGCTGCTAGAGCAGAGAAAACTGATCTTGAGGGATTGATGTTCTGACTCAGTATAAGGCAGCTTCTTGTGTCCCACAGGGGGACCTTTTTTTATAAATCTTGATCAATTCTAGTGAACCAATTTCTACCCCCCCCTCTCCTCAGTCACTGAAGAAAATGAAATAACACTTAAAAAACCCAACTGCATGGCACGGGGGGGGGGCGCTAACACGAAAGTCAATATGAAATTTTAACTGGTACTGGAGGCAGTTGTCTGCTTCTTTCCCAATCCCAGTTCACGGAGTCAGTTGGAGTGAAGCTGAAATAGCAAACTGGAGTGATTTTTCCCACACTCAGGCAAATGGGGCCTTTCTATGATGTGGATCTGTGGAGCTCACCTAGACGGCTCTCAACTGGGAGTGGAATTTCATGCCTTTGCCATTCTACTTTCAATGCTATTGCAATTGAACATAAGAAGCAATGAACTGAAATATAGGAAACAAAGTCCTGCTCCAGTTGCAGTTTTTGAAACAGGTATCACTGGTGGGAGATCATTCTCTGCTTTTCTACTGTCTTTCTGCCCATGAAGCCCTCTTATGCCTATCAGTTTTCTTTAGGAAACAAATCAAAATTGTATTTGGAAGTGTCAAGTATAATATGCTATGATGGACCCCTTCTTCTTCACTGTGATGCAGATTTTTCCCACCAAAATTTTTAGTTCCCTTTAGGTGATGAGCTTGTCCCCAGTAGTATGATAATACCTGCAGCTTTATAAATCTGAATGCCCTACCCTGTGACAGAATCTGATTTGGCTATTGCCCAGCACAGGAACTTGTCAGGAGAAAACAAGAGCCCTCTTTTTAGATCAGTTGAAATGGCCTTGGAAACTGTAACAGTGAACAATAATAAAGATTTTATTTAACAGGCAGGGATGGTATGGGGTAGTCAGGTATTTGAAAGGCTGAGGTAATGTTGGTAAAACCGTATATTTTTCAGTTGACAGACAAGATGGTGTTGCAGCAGCTTATTTTTACAAATTCTTGGTTCTTATCAGTGAGAGATGGTTGACTAAGTACTTTGGTTTCAGTAACAAATGTTTCTGCATATAGTTTCCTAATAACTGTTCATGTTTTCTGGAAAGGCCACTCTTTTAGTGTATCAAATTCTTTCCCCTTTTCTGAAATCACAATGTGTCTTCTTTCCTCTGAGTAGTCCATAACCATTTCCTTTCAAAACAGACCAGGGACTGCCTCAGTGCCAATTTCCTGTATAACTGGACAGGACTCCTACTTCTTCCCTGAAAATATAATCCTACTCCTTAGGGCCTGATTGGGAGTTTTAGACTGCTACCCAGTCACCCTTTGCCAAAATCTCAAACCCCAGTTCTTGGTGTCTTGTATGAAATTGTACTTCAATGTAAGCTGACACTAGACTCTGAATTCTTAGATGGTATTCTCTCTCAGGTTATGCTGAACACAGTTAAGACCAGGAGTCTCTCCCTTTATTCAAAAGGTGACCCTGTCTGACAGACTTTTAGTCAGACTCTTCAGACATCCACTCCTATAGCTGAACTTTTACTTTACTGAACAGTAACGGCTGCTGAACTCAAAACAAACTCCTTCTCCCCTCAGCACACAGCTGTTTTTATATTTCCCCCAGCTGGCACTAGCCAATCAGAGGAAAGGAACAACCTGTCACTCAAAGCTCAACATTCTAGAGCAGAGTTAACTATTCCCCTCCCTTCTCTGATTTTGCTGCATTAAAAAAACACAGCATTTTAAACATAGTCCATCACATATGCCTTGTGGATTTAACCAACGTTAAATTGTTTTGGACACAAATCTTAACAAAAATAGCCCAATAAGTTATTATCTGTTGGCTTTCATGTTTTAACTTTTACTGTAAACCAGAGAGCTTTAACAGCCCTCCCTGCAAAAATGAAATGGAAAAATACAACATATAAAACCGAAGTCTCTATAAACCTATGATATGAAGCTTAAAAAAAGGAGTGTAGCCACTTCTTATGCCGTCTATGGACAATTCCCATAGATAGCAATGTGACTGCTGCATCGCTGATGACATGTGAGAAATACAAAGTTAGGATATGAGCATTGATCTTCTTAACTGTACATTAAGTATTTAAAGCAGGAGCATGGGCTGCCAAGGATGCCAAAGAATGGATCATCAAAGTTGCCTATTTTTCTGAAAAGAAGGAATTGGCCACCAGTGGTCTACAAGCTTTGGGGGCCTAGCAGTGTTTGTGGTTGCCACCAACCCCTCTTCTCCCAAAGACCTCTGCCACACATCACTCTCCGGAATTCTGTGTGCATACCACAGGACTTTGAGGGGTGTGTGTGTGTGTGTGTGTCACTTACATTTGGCTCTTCCTCCAAATTTCAAAATGGATGTTTTTGCTGGGTGATCAGGATAGGAAGTGTGGAGTTTTATCTGATTCAGGGGACCCTTCAACACTTGCTGGCACCCATCACTGAAGGGGAGTTTGTCAACAGGACTGCAGAACTATTGAGGGTACATCCTAATGACATTTTCTGCTGGTGGAGAACGTCTTGGTCAGTGGAAAGGATGTGTGTGGTTTTTGCTGCTTGGGGTAGTAAAGTGTGCTTCCATGAGCTCACCTCAGACTAGACAGAATAACGTGGGAGTAAGAAAACACTGTACTGTAGTCAACTAGCAATCTTCTGCTACCTATTGATTTCAAAATTAGCAGCAGTATAGATACCAAGTTTTAACCATTTGTGTATGTGTGTCTATACACACACAAATTGCACATCTTACCTCTCCCAAGATACTAGTGTTCCTTCTCTGTAACTTTCCTCAGCGGCACCCCCCTGAAAAGTTGAGAAAAGAAAATAGCTTTACAACGTTGCTTCTGAGCCTGATGCTAAATTACTAACACTTCTGTAATAAGTCACGCAACTATACCAAGTACATTTCTAAATTAAAACCCCAGCACAAGGAGTTTGTGTGGGCGTGGAACAGCAGTCACTGGGTGTGTGGAGGGAGGTATTATGAATTTCCTGCACTGTGCAGGGGGTTGAACTAGATGACCCTAGAGGCCCCTTCCAACACTACAATTCTGTGTATGCAAATAGATCTTCTGGCAATACATATTTAAGCACGACTCCTGGATCATACATTCCCTTTCCACATGACAGCCCCTACTTTGCTCCCCCCGCCCTGCCTAATTCAGCCACACCCCTGAACATTACAAAGAGAAACTAACTCAAACAATACCACATAATTACCCAGTCGGTATTTGACAAAAATCCCACAGCTCTTGTTGCTAAAGAAACACAAAATGTTGCATTTTGCAAATGGTGTGAATTATTCTGCCCTCCCCCATCCCCAAACGTAAATGACTGTTGTGAAAAGCTGTCCCAAACAGATATGAATATCTTGCCCTGGCTTCTCCACTATTTTTCTACCATTTATAGCATTTCAGTTTATACTTACCGATACCCTGGAGCTCGCTCGTACTCTTGCTACAAATTCCCTCTCTCTCTCAGCAGCTTGCCTTTGGACCCGTTGGAAGTTGGTAAGTGCTGTAGTAAACTCATTCACAAGTCGGTCTTTCTGTATTTTTCTTTGACGCTAAATGGCAAGAAGTGGAAAAAAAAATCTACTGAAGCAAAAGAAATTATAAATAATTATTTAATTGGAGCTTTTGGGTGAGGGTTCCCAACCATTCGGGGTCAGTGCAGCAGAAATAGCAAACTTGTACAAGGAATTTCACAGAGGGCCTTTATTTCCCTGGAAACCACAAGAATGAGTAGTGCATCGTAAATGAAAGCAGTAGGCAAGACATCTTGCTCAATGCTCCTTCCAGCTGACAACTAAATGAATACATATATACTTAAATCATGGCATACTCTAATACTGCAGTCTCTACATGCCAAATTACTGAAAGATGCTCCTCTTTTTGAACAACTTAAGGCATTGCACAGTGGCAGAATTTACCTCGAACGGGCCATAGTGAAAATCGAATATGTGGAAGTGAACAGTGAGTGACTATGACCATGGATGATCACAGCAGAGCTGACAGACACCCACTTGGTGGCTTTGTATCCTACACATTTTGAAGGCACCCACACTGAGGGATCACAACAACATGCAGAGAAGAAGATCAGTGACTTCCCCAAGGCTATGAAGTCAGCAAGGATTTGAACTTGGGATGTCCACATCTCCAAACTCTAGCCACCACCCAACCTGGTGTTTCAGGAAGGCATATATATAATGCAGTATGAACTGCTGCTGAGTGGCTGGGCCCCTATTTTAGCTGAAAATTGCAGACTAAGGGAGCAGCAAACATAAGCAAGCAACTGTTCAGTTTTCAGAAAATACAGGACAGAACATGCTTGCATTAATCTAGTTACTAGGACTCTAGACGAAGAGGATACTGAACACAGCTCTGACCTGCTGCAGCTTTACCCAAGGGACCAAATTTCAAGCTATATGTTGCTAGCACCAATATCCCACTGGTAAATCAATGGATACTTGGCGAATATTCACTGTTACTTTCAAACCCTACCAATCCATGCTCTTACTGAATAGACATGCCACAGAAGGAACACTAAGGAGACCAAGAACAAATGGGCAGATCTAGAGCAAGTACCAGAAATTTCGATTTCTCCCAAACCTTCTGTTCATCTTCTCCTCTCAAAAAAAACCCAAAGTACTGTTGGTTGGTTGGTTTGAGCAGAACAATTAATTTTAAGGAGAGTTTGGAAAGTACTTTAAAATCTGTTTTGTGACCAACAGTATGTATTCAGGTACATTCACTCCTCTCCCTCCCAAACAAAAAAAGGCTGCAGTCCTGCACATTGAGTTAAACTACTTAAATCCCACTAAAGTCAATGGGATTTAAGCAGCATTACCTTACTGTGCACTGGATTGCTGTCAACATGATTAAATGATCATAAACCATACGCCTGAATCATCCTGTAATCCTAGTGGCTCAGAAATGCTGTCTCTCTTAATTACATGAAACCGCACCAAATTCCATCAATTAATTCCATCAGAAGTAACCATGGGGGGTGAATTGCAAAACCGGCAATGTAATTTTAATTGATTAAAAAAACCCAAACATTTTTGTACCTGTTCATTTACTGAAGGCAGAGATCCAAACTCTTTAATGTATTTGTCAGTCTCTTTGGCAAGTTGGTTTGTATACTGTTGCTTCTGTTGTCTAAAATAGAAAGTTAATAATTCAGCTACTGAATTACCTGAAAAATACCCACATTATTGGTCCCTAACAGATTACACTCC